ATCCAAATGCTTCTACTTCACCATTTCTGCCCTTGACTCCAAGAGTGCTCAGCTCCCTCCTATGAGAATCTTCCTTACTTCTTCATTTTCCTACATAATAATCATGGTTATCTTCCCATCTCTCTTCTATCTGGTTCTTTACTCAAAAGACTTCTATCACCCTAAGCTCCTTGATGGTAACACTTGTGTCAGAGTTATTTGTAATTCTCTTAGTACCTATTACAGTTCCTAGAACTCTATAGATGTTAAAGAAATATTCACTGCATGAATTAATGAATAATGGGCAAACTTAATGGTCAGGAAAATTTATTTGGCTATTTGTCATCTTCAATAATGAAGCCACCATGTCTATAAGATAGATGAATTCTCAAATAAAGATGGAATTTCATAGACATAGTCAATTCTTACTCTGATTCATGAAATACAACCACTATATTCTGCAATGTTGCTAAAGTATAAAGGTAGCGGAGAATTTTTATGCTTGTAGCTCTCTATCTTCTAACAGATGTCAACCTCAGTTAGATTCAACTAAACTTATTACTGCATGGATTTTAGCCAAAACCAATTCACATTTTCAGAAGTGTATCATCACATATGCCTTAATAACAGAAATGTGTTTTATCAAAAGCTGTATGTGATAAGTCACATATGGTAGGAGAAATCTGTACATATCTCAGGCCTTGTTGTTACAATGAAATCTTGGAGAAGATTGCTGTAGAACTTTAATATACAAGTGAAAATCTGTCCATCAAACATATTACAGAACCAAAGTATTAATATACCAATGAACTTTGTGCTTCTGATATATTGAGAAATATACCAGGTATCTCTTGATCTTAAGGATATTTACTTTGAGGCTTAGCCTCAGAGGTAACATTTAATGGTTAAGTGTATAGGTCATTAGTGTATAGGTGCATGTTGTGTGCTACATTTCTGAGCATGCATATATTTAGGTTCTCCTTTATGTGGAATATTAATTAATATACCATCATCTCCCTAGGGTGATAAAAGAAGCTTACTTCCAGGAAGGTATTAAAAATAAACTTAATACACTGGTTTAGAAATATGGAGGAGCTGAACTCTATTTTTTTTAATCCTAACTAGTTTATTGGGCTTGCCAACAAAGCATAGGGTGGGGTTTTATTTACAGAAGAGTGGGTGTCCCCCCTCATTTACAGCTGTACTGCAAAGTCTACACTCAAATATAGATCTTGTGACTTCCTGAAAGCCACACAAAATGGCGAGAAAGGTGCCTCCTGGTATTCTTGGTTTATGTATCCTTAGCCCCTCCCCAACATTCAGCTATGGTTGACTGATTGGATGGGGCGGGTAACTGACTCCCCCCTTGACTCCTTTATGAGCGTGGGAAGGAGGTGTGATTATAGCTTGCCTTGCTGGCATAGTGGTTGGAGGACACTTCAGGTAACACTCCACCCTTTCCTCCAGCTCTTACATTAAAGAGGAAAATAAGCATAGTAAATGGACCTAGTGAGACATTTACTATCACCCCAACCAAAAGGTTATGTAGTCTAGAAGAGAGTTTTAGAAAATTCATATAATCTTTGTAGTCTAGTCAGTTATACCCAATGTGAAACACTAGTAGTATGCTGCAGATAACTTGTTCATGTTTTTTGAGACATCATTGCCGTATCACGGATTTCATATCCACTGCGTGTTCAAAGACAGTGACTCAGGGTCCCCAGATGCTCCCCTGTGAAAGTCCATCCACTGAGATCTAGTTAGCCTATCTAGACTCTCTGACACATTGGGTCTTAATATGGATGACAGAGTATATGGGTTCTGGTGGGGGGGGGCTGTGGGAGCATTCTGGTGGGGACAGGGGTATAAAGATGATTAAAATTCTTTGTGATATTCTGTATAAAATACACAAAAATTCATTAAAATGAACTTTAAAAAACAAAACAAAACACAAAAATAGTGAATCAACAGTGAGTGATTTTTGTTTCTTTTGAGAATTCAGTGATATATCAGTCCCAGAAAATCTTGAACACACAAAAATGGCCCAGTAAATATCTACTCCTTGTTTTACAGGCCCCCAAAGTAAAAGGGTTGATACTTTTGCCTGTAGTATCATGAAAAGTTGTACTGTCTTTTCTTATCTTACCGACTAGAGCAGGAAATAGCAAACTTTTTCTATAAAGAGTCAAATGATAAATGTGTATGACTCTACACAGGACTGTCTTTGTTGCAACCATTCTGATATGCCATTACAGCATAGAATTGTTCCAAATAATATGAAAGTGAATGCGTGTGTCTGCCTTCCAATTACAGTATCATGTGTAGATATTTACATGGAAGTTTCATGTTATTTTCATATGCCATGAAATAGTTCTTTATATTTTTCTTTTTCCAATCATTTGCAAAATTACACCCAAAATGATTATATCAAATCTCATCACATGATCACATCCACCAATATGTGTTCATACTGCAGTTGTAACTGATGCCATCAGACCTCAACTTTCCATCCTGAATGGATAGTAACTTTCTAATGCATGTTTCATAGTGCAAGGAAACGCAACATTTTAAGAGGAAAAATCACTGGAAGAAATGAGCTCAATGTGGTGACATTTTTATACAAGAAAAAATAAGAAAAACAGAGACTGGATGACTACACAGTTACAACACATGAGTTCCTATGACCTAATAATGACACCATGCTAGACTACAGCTACCACATCAATTAAGCCTCTAAGTCAGTTTCCTGAAAGGACTATTTTCTGAGATATGTCCAATCTGTCTATTTGTTCATTCAATCAGAAAAGAAGCTCAAATTCATACTTTATTTGTGGTTAAGTCCCAGTGCATCATGTGTACCCAAAACTTATCCACAGGCATCAGAAATGACAAAGGAACCATTACACATATAACTGTAAATACTCTTTTGATGTTCTTATGTCAAGCAATGTTAACTGAAATGTGCTCTAGAGTTTATGCCCCTGAAGTTAGCTTGGGAGGGTAATTTTCTTTCAACATGTCCGTACAGCTGTGGTTGGGCAACTGAATGATTTAATATACAGACAATTATAGAAACTTGCTAGTTTAATTAGCTTCATCACTGAGCAGATTTTTAAAAAATATTTTATTATTTTTATTTTATGTGTATAAGTGTATTGCCTGCATGTATGTGAGTGGGCCCGCATCGTGCAATGCCACGGAGGTCAGAAGAGGGCTTCAGATTCCTCTGGAACTGGAGTGAAGGATGGCTCGTAGCCATCATGTGGGTGCTGGGAATCGAACCCAGGTCCTCTGCAAGAGCAGTGAGTGCTCTTAACCAATGAGCCATCTCTCCAGCCCCGCAGATTTTTAAATATAATTAAAAGCAGAAAGAACCATAATCTTTTGACCTTTCCAGGTTTCTTATCTTCTAATCATTCCTTAAAGTGGTAGATATTAGATAGCCTCTACTTATAGATTAATAAAAGTTTGTGAAATGTATAATTACATGTAGGGTCAAATTTTCACAATGAGTAAAGAGAAAATGGGTCCTTCGGCTCCAAACACGGACAATGGTCTTGCCTATGCATGCAAGGATGGAGCTTGGCCTCACTTCTTATAGTAAGAGCTTGAACTGGGAGCCACATTGAGGCCTAGTTTTATACTCTTACAGCCCTTGTCCTACTCCTTGTGACATGAAACACACATTATCTGCAGTCCTACTGAGTCGGACTGTGGGAAAGAACATTGCCAATGGACCTCCTAAGGATTAAGTCCTGACTCCTCATTAGCATGATTGCCATCAAATCAATGGATTTGTCCAGAACCAGGCTTACATTTGAAGAGCCTTCAGGGTGTACAGATGGAAAAGAAACAAGGGTGAAGAAAAGATTCCAACCTCAAACAAACAACAAGATTAAAAACTCAACTACTAAAACTGTTTCCATAGGAACACTACAACATAATGTAACTCAACTGTAGAGGTCCCTCCAAAGACTACAGTGTCATGACACAGAAGAGTCTGTTAGCTAAGGAAAATGAAGCATAAAAGAAAAGTACACTATACCTTTGGAAAATGTATTAAGATTTGGAGTTAAGAGTATGCTGGACCCTATCTTCATGCTCTGGAAAAGCTAATTGTCATACCCAACAGAAACAACCTTCTTATTCTTGAAATAGTTGATTCAGTCTCCCAGAACTACAAAATAATCAATGCACTTCCCATTTCTGTATTTCATACCAGCTATAGTAGAGGCTGGCTAGACATGAGAAGTTCTAGACATGTGATATTCCCACACCTACAATAACCCAGTAAATAGAACAAGTCCTTCCCTGGCTACATGGCTGACAAGGATGGTATGCATCATAACATTGCAATCAGGTATCGTGACTCAAATGACAAGGCTGCCATTCTTCTTAATTTAAAAATCTCCTTTCTGGAAAATACAGGATGCCTAACATGTACTAGATTTAAAAGAATGCTCTGTGGCTTTTTTTTATATATATAATTTAAGAGAACCCTTAAAAAATAGCTCCGATAAAAATAATAGCTTAAAAATACCCGTTCAGCTCAATGTATTTTATGAGCTTTTCATTAACAAGAGTACTGAAGCCTTGATGCCAAGGTGCCAAACCTCCCCACGTGGCTGGAGATCACTTGGCACATATACAACCACTTACGTCTCCGTCATAGGTCCAAGGTTTGCAATTAAAAATGCATTTTTTTAGCATATGAACAACCAAAGGCTTGAAGTAGTGTGTGCTGAATATGATTGTAATAGCATTTGGCAGCTAGTCATGATGGCACATATTAATTTATGTAAACTGGGCAAACTTGGGGCATTTCCTCATCAGGGACACATGGAAAAAATATGAGCGGGTCTTTGCCCATCAGCGGGTACCCCCCATGTTTTGTTTTTGTCTTTATATTGTGGTGACTAGAGATTAATGCAAAGTACACTTCTTTTATGGCCTTATTTTCCCCATGCATGGAGTTCCATTAAAATTAACATTTTCAATGAAAAAAAATAATAATAACTTACCTCACAGGAGTATTCTTAGGTTTTGCCTTTTCAACAGCCTGTAAACAGAGGAAAAATGCAATTAGGCAACATTAGCAGGCATCATCTTTGCAACTAGCAACCCAAACAATAAGCAGTAGAAAATTATAAAATATTCTTCAGAAACATGAGTAGCAAACTGAACCAGGCTGCTGTCGATAAGCATACTAGAGACATGGAAAGCAATTTTCTCCTCCTAGGGAATGTGATTATCTGTCCAAATACAGGTTTCAAACACAGACATGCATTGTCAGAGCTCCTGGCAAAGTTCAGCAGGAGCTGTGCAAGTAGACTCTTGGGTGCACAAGTAGATCCTCCCCTCCCTACCTTTCACTCTAACCTTACTCCATGTGGGTCTGAGTTGTAATGACAGCGTGGAGAGGCAGCTGCAAACAAACGGTTGCAGACATATCCTGGACTTTCAGCTCTGTGGTAGGAGACAATTACCCCCCAGCATTCCTACTGACATGTGGCACATGAGAGAAAGGCCAGTGTCCATTTCCAAAATTGCTTTTAGTAGCAGACACTGCAAAAGGACAAGGAATGCCCAAATACTGCCATCAATTTCCTTTTCTGAAACCTTTAAGAAAATACACACCAAATTCTTGAAATGAGGAGGTTTCTGGGCCTCTTGGCCTGAGTCACCTTAGACATGGAGCCTGGTTCCAGTTTATTGCTGAACCCATTGATCTGTGTACAGTCCATTTATCATTCATGAAAAGAGCTAGTGATCTTCACAGTATATTAGAAGAAACAACTCAGATCATCTGTCAACAGCCCTCTTATTTCTGTTTCCCTCTCCACGGGGATTTCATCTCCTTCGATTCTTCTGGAATTAAAATGTTGCTAAGCAACACAGCTGGGGGCGCTGATGGCAGAATGGCTACAGTCTATCAAACTGTTTAAGCACCTGGAGGGTTTCAGTGATGATTTTTTTCATATTTCTGTAGCATAATTATGTAATCAGAAGCAAACTTGTATTCCACTAGACTTTTCAGGCTATGGAAACAACATTTAATTTTGAATGCAAGGAAGCAGCAGTTCCACAACCTCAGGGTTGTCCAGACACTTTTACAAAATATCCATTAGGGGGCCTTCATGTTTGTGAATCTTGAAGGAGGGTAAAGGCAAAGGAGATCAGGCCTGCAAATTGGAATACAGATGCGACCATCTTTAACACAGCCAGTCTCACACTGGGCTTGATACTGTGGTTGATTCTTGAGATTAAGTATACTGAGCTCCTCTGTGCATGCCAACTCCATGAATTTAGTAGCTATGTAAACCAAACACTTCCCAACTTTCACATGTTAGTGTTGGAAATCTAAGTGCATCCTGCTAGTTGAGTCTCTGTATCTCTTACTAGGTAACTATCTGTTAATATGTGGGCACTCTCTTTGACTTGGTATGCAAAAAACCTTTTCTCATTAAGGAGCTAAGGAGGTATGGAATGAGGTAGCAGGTGAAAACTAGGAAACAAGAAGTATGTGTCTGAATAAGCCCAAATCACCTCTAATGCATATCTAAGACATTCAAGGCCATTTTCATGCAGTACATGTAGAAATAAGGTGTTTATACTGTTCAGCATGGATTCCACCCAGCCAGATGGACAAAGGGAGAGAGGCAAATGCTGACAAGAAGACTCGTATGGACCATTAGCCTTTCCTATAGCAGAGATACTTGGTCAGCAAGCATGTTCACTAGCATCAGTTTTTAGTCGCATCATTTTCCTTCTGTTTCTTTTCTTTTTCCTCTGTCTCTGTCTCCACCTGCCTCTCTCTTCTCTTTCATCTGCCCTTTCTACCTTGCCTTCCTTTCCATTATTTCCTTTTGCTCTCTTCTCTGTCTCTCTCTGTTTCTCCCACCTGCTCCCTCCATTTGTTTTCTTTCAAGTCTGGCTGGTTAGGAATAATATATAGTAGCAAGCTGAAGAGATGACACCGGGGAGATCATATTAACTCACTTTTTAAATCTTAAAATTCAAACAAGTCTGGTCTAGAAGCTGCAAGTTATCATAAAGTAATAGGCACTGTTCAAGTAGTTTCTCTTGCTAGATGAAACAGAATGAGCATTGGCAGAAGATATGGCAGGGAGAAATCAAAGTGACATTGCTAAATCTAGCTATGATTCAGGGACACATTTTTTTTAAATGTCCTCTCTTCCTTGTTTTATAACTGTCAAGTATACCTAGTTATTTTTCTCAGATTAGGACAAACATTACCAAGCTATAGGCCAGTTTCTGAGAGGCATATGCCATTTTATACAGTTATCATAATAAGACTTCATTCAAATTAGATTTTCTAGATTGCTTGGGTATTGATTGAAAACGAATATCGTGATAGGTTCCGTTTTTCTTTGGAAATTAACTTAGAATCATTTCAATGTTCCCACAGCTGTAGTCACATATAGACTCATGCCATCCTTCTCTGTGCTCATGACTGAGAATTTCCTACCTAAATGGGCACAGAGTCTCCGCCAGATGAGCTAGAGCTTGCAATTTATCTTCTACACTTTTCCTGTAATTTGACTTTGTTCTAGGCATGCTATGAGGAACTATAATACTAAAAGATGTAAAAGAAAAAATTTACACAAAATTTTGTATGCAAATGATGCATGCTTTTAAGGTATAAAATAATTAGTCTATAAAACATGCAAGGAGAAAAATTCCTCCTTGGAAACAAGCACACACAAGAAGACAATTTCACATTCTAGATCTATGTGGCAGGACATGAGACACGATGCAAAAGGTGGTAAATGAAAAGGAAATGGCACAGTGTAATTCACAAAGCATTAAGAAGGTCACAGCTAAATTTCAGTTTAAAAACAGGCATTAAGGTAATTTAAACTGATTAGAAAAGGGATGCTAGATAGTTAAGAGTTATGTACTGCTTTAACTTATAATGTCTACATGCTTTTTAAAAACCTATGTTCTCCTTATTTTGTGTCATGTTTCTGTACATGATATTTATTTCGCTAATAAGAAAGTTCTCATAGAGGAAGGATAAATGAAACAAAAACAAAATTTAAAGATTATACTCCTGTACGCTTCAATGAAATTTGGTTTGCTGAACAGTGGTGACCTGCCTTTTCGCATCTCAGCATGACACTATCATGTGCAGAAGTGTTGGGTCACATTCACAGCTCTCTTGGAGTGCATCTGGCCCTTGGTCCACAGATTGGAGTCCACCTGTTAATGGAAGAGTGTAGTACTGGAAATGGAAAATAGCAGTGTTTTGGTCCCGTTTTGCTACATATGGCGTTGGCAGGGGGTTAACAATTTTGAGCCTCAGTTTACTCATTTTAAAAATAAAGACAGTCATTTCTGTCCTTCCCAAATCAATGGTCATTGTTAGTGTTCAACACGGATGGACATGGTCTGGAACTCCAGTATGTTAAGCAAATGCCACACACCTCCTTTCTGAGTATATTTCTCAGAGATATTGGTATGTAGAGTTTTACAGTAAGATCGTTTATAGATTCACCTGTCAGTGAACACTTCCCAGAAGCAAACTTATGCAGTTACTACAATGAGGATTAGAAGAGTCACTTTTGCTACTCTGTTCATATCATGAGTAGCTCTGGGGTCAGGAAAATGCTCCTGTCTAGAAAGCAATATTTATGGAAGACTCTGAGGTGCTGAGCTTTTACCAATATACTCAATATAGCTATAACCCAGTAGGGGAGGGCCTTCTCCCACCACACAGATATGAATTTCATATGTATCTTCTTGGAGATTGATGGTAGAGCAGTCGGGTACATGACATAGGGTGTAGCTCACAAGTACATCTCCAGCCCCTTAAATCTCTCTCCCCTCCCTCCCCCTCTCTATCACTCCCCTTTCTCTCTTTCTCTTTCTCTTTCTTCCTCCCTCCCATGAAAGTTTATCCTAGAAAATCAATCCCTCTTGTTCTTTGAGACAAGGTTTTGCTGTTCATTCCAGTCTGGTATCAAAAAGGTGATCTTACTGCCTCTGCCGTCCAAGTGCTGAGATTACAGGGGTATGCCACTACACCCAACTGCATGAATCCTCATTTTCAGGTGAACCCTCCTTCCAAAACTCTTCCTTCCAAACCACCCCATTATGGGTGCTCTTTGCTTCTTCATTAAAATGTTATCCCAGGGATACTGAAAAGAAACTATTTGCCAGGGCACTTCTCCTATACCGAGGAGTGTCTATGTGCTGATTTCTCTCCTCATACCAGCATTGTACTGTCCAAGGTATCCTGATAAGAAGCAAATTTATTTCCTCTGGAAGGATGGCATGGTTAAGAACAGACTCATAGCTATTGACTCATTATGCCTACCTTCTTTTATTTTAAAATATTTTATTTATGTTGATTTTTATGTGCATGAGTGTATTGCCTGCATGAATGTAAGTGCACTTGTGCCGTGTAATGCCCGCAGAGGTTAGAAGAAAATGTCAGATCCCCTGGAACTGGAGTTACAGATGGTTGTTAGTTGCCATGTGGGTGCTGGGAATTGAATCCAGATCCTCTGCAGGAGCAGTCAGTGCCTTTAACTGCTGAGCCATCTCTCCAGCCTTCAAGTCTACTTTCTTAAAAGTAAAACTCAGGTCTGTTTTACATAAAGAATCTTTGCACTGTACAGCAGTGAAAATGGCTCAGAGACTATACTGCATCACAAGATGTACATGATGTAGAACTATCACAATAAAAGAAGAATCAAAGAAGGGAAAAAGGAAATTAAGTGGGTATCTAGTGAGCTCTAGACAAATAGCATACACGATATTTTGAGGGAGAAAATGATACATATAAACCACTTAGAAAATTTGCTATTGAACTCTGTAATAATCAAACTTTGTCAAAATTCTGTAGCAAGATATCTGACCCACTGGTTATAAGTTACTGTTCTTGTCAATGGCGCTTGTATATTATATTTACAGAATATTTAAAGAATTTTTTGGCCTTTTTTAGAAACAATCCCTGAATAGTTACACCCAAGGTTACAACATCACTGTCCTCCTATGATTTACAGAAAACAAACAATGCAATTTGTTTCCTAT